TGGCGCACTGGCCAGGCCTGGGTCAGCTGTTGAACTCTTGAGGTAGTGAGAGGAAGGAGTCAGCCCCTCTAAGTCACGTAGACTGAAAGCGGGGCAGGGGTGGGTGTTCAAAGGAAAAGAGAAGGTCCGGTCTCTAAAAAAACAACCTGGGCCAGGCGCGGTGGCTCATGCCTGCAATCCCAGCACTTTGGGAGGTCGAGGCAGGTGGATCACCTGAGGTCAGGAGTTTGAGACCAGTCTGGGCAACATGGTAAAACCCCATCTCTACTAAAAATACAAAAATTAGCCAGGCATGGTGACACATGCCCGTAATCCCCGCTACTCGGGAGGCCGAGGCAGGAGAATAGCTTGAACCCAGGAAGCAGAGGTTGCGGTGAACCAGTATCACGCCACTGCACTCCAGCCTGGGCAATAAGAGCGAAACTCCGTCTCCAAAAAAATGGTATCTGTACTCACCCTCCCATTCTTAGGATGAGACTAGAACCTGAGTTGTCCGCAGTTGGAGACATTCATCAGCAGGTTCATTGGCTTGTCCACAGGATACCATGCATAAATTATGGTTGTGTGCACTCACCTTGAACTCTTGGGCAAGTTTCCCAAACCTGTTGCCCAACCCAAGGGCATTCTTGAGGCCAGTCCTTCCCTTCGGGGGTCAGTGGGGTGGCGGATCTTAGGAATTAGAGGAGGGAAGGAAGTGGCTGGCCTTCTGCCAGAGGGAGCGCTGGGGCATGCAGGAGCCAGGGGCAGGGATCCTGTCCCTGTTATGCGGCTGGGTACTCCCAGAGTCTCTGAGGGCCAGCCTTCCAAAAGGAAATGAAAACACAAATGTCTTTGGCTAGAAGTGCACAACCAATTTTTTAATAAAGTCATTACAAATATGTACAAAGCGTCTCCAAGGTATGAAATTCCTCTTACAAAAGAGCACAACGACGTCAGAACCAACAACGTCAGAACCCAGAACGGAACATCCCCAAACTTATTGCCGCTCTGGCTACGGTTCTCCAGATACCCTCCCAGCCGTCCCTGCCACGCGCACAGCTTCCTTGGCGCTTATAGTGCAAAAGACCTTCGGGAGAAGGAACTTGGGAGTTCAGGTTGGAGAAGAGGGTAGGAAGGAGGTAAGAAAAGCTTCCTGTGTCCTAGGAAATAAGTCATACAGGCCCTATTTGCAAATTCCATGCACCTTCCCTGGGACCTTATAGAAACCAGGAACACAGGAGGAGGGCATGAGTATATAAAATCCACAACGAATCCAACCAGCCTGTCCTTGAGTGTCCCCAAAGGTGACACTTTTTCCAGTGGACCTAAGTCAGGCCCCCGGCTCCCAGCGGGGCCATGTGCTGGCACTCGCCCTGGAACTAGCAGTGCTGTGGGTGACCTCATGCCGGGAACCAGTGGAGCAGAGCAGTCAGCTCGTGAGCGTGGGGGTCCCATGGACTCGAGTCCAAATCTTGGCTCAGGCACTTCGCTGGTGGTGTGGCCTTCAGCTAAGTTGCTCAACCTCTCTGAGCCTCAGCTTCCTCCACTGTTAAATGGGAATGATAACAGTACTATCTGCTAAAGTGGGCATGAGGCATCGCAGAGGGGAAGATGGTAAAGCACTTCGCCCAGGGCTTGGGAGTGGCGAGCGCGCCATCAAAGGTAGCTTTGACTATTGTGTAAAGCAGCAAGGACCAGTCTGTTCATGCTGGAAATGAGTGGAGATTGCAGGCTTTTTAACTGCCTTTACCAGAGGGCGGGGCTCTCAGTCAATACTATATAACAATCTGCCAAAAGGCTTGGGGTCACAGTGGTGACCTGAAAAATCTGTTAAATGTCGTGAACCAGACTGGAAAGGGACATTTCACATCATCTGCTTCCGAGCAGGACCGTCCCCTCCATCATCCATAAGTCAAGTCTCTTCTGAGATGGAATTCTACAACCTGGCACATTGTAGATGCTCAATAAATATATGCTAAATGAATGAATGAAAATTTTAAAAATAAACTTTCAGCTTAAGCTTTAAAATGACACTTTGACATCAATTTCCTCCCCTCATGGAACTTCCAATCAGCTCCATGGGATAAGAAGAGTGTCTAGCCGGTCCCCCAAACCCTTAACCAACTTCTGACCTTCAGAAAAGAAACGGATATTGACACAGAAGAACGAAATCTGTGTTCTGGTCAATGCAACTCGTAGTATCAGGTGGACACGCATAAAGTCCACAGTGGTGAGCTGGTGTCCCTAAAAGAGACTTGCGTAGGAGGTGGGTGGGTGAGGACTCCCCTGATTCCCCAGGGAGGGAGAGTGATATTTTATCACTGTCAGAAACATCATAATAGGAGAGCATGAGATCAGCTACATACATTGTGAAAACCAGTCACAGTTTCATTTTTCTGTGACGATATTGTTTAAATCACCCTTTCCTCTCATCATCAAAACAGAAAAGAATCAAAATAAGAAGTGGAGGCTGAGCACGGTGCCTCACACCTGTAATCCCAGCACTTTGGGAGGCCAAGGCAGGTGGATCACTTAAGGCCAGGAGTTCAAAACCAGTCTGGCCAACATGGTAAAACCCCGTCTCTATTAAAAATAGAAAAATTAGCTGAACATAGTGGCATGTTCCTGTAATCCCAGCTACTCGGGAGGCTGAAGCAGGAGAATCGCTTGAACCTGGGAGGTGGAGGTTACAGTGAGCCAAGCTTGCACCACTGCACTCCAGCCTGGGCGACAGAGCGAGACTCTGTCTCAAAATAAAGAAGAAGTGGAAAAGAAGTCCCCAGTATCCAAATGAAGGTGGCTAAAAATATAAAAACAAACAAACAAAAAACAGGAACTAGGCTCTAAGAGATGTGCACGGCCAAAATAAAACTGCAAACAAAACAAAACAAACAAAAAACAGGAACTGGGCTCTAGGAGATGCGCACGGCCTAGGACCACGGACAGCAGCCAGTGGGGCTAACGGGCTCCCCAGAGAAACTTCCTACTCAAGCTACACCAATAACAAAGAGAACAGGAAACAGGCCCCCAAATTTGAAGAGATTGTATTTGTTTGTGGGGTATCAGGTAGGGTGAGAAGCTTCCAGAAAGGACTGGATCTCATTCAGAGTGTTGAAGTCCCGGGGGCTCCAGTCCCTGAGGTTCCTGGCTCCCCACTCTCTGAGAGCAAGCAGCACCATCAGAAATGAAGAGGCAGAAGTCTCTTCATCTCATTATGCAGCAAGTTACCTACACGATGATCTCAGAGGCCTCCCTCTGCTTGTACAGTCTCTCTCTCTCTCTCACACACACACACACACACTGCTGTCTGCTGAAACCCGATATGAGGTCTTTTTTAAAATTCATTTCAAAGCCTCCCTCCCTTTCTCTCTCTCTCTCTCTCTCTCTTCACAGACGCTCTGCAGTGAAGCTAATCAAAATCAATGACTCCTTGGCAGCCAGAGAAAAGCGGGGGGGGTGGAGGAGAGGGAGGGATGTTGCCAGCACTTTGCACGCTGTGGAAATATTTTTTAAAAAACAAGAACCACCCCACTATCTCATGCAATCCAAGCAATACAACAGGAGAGATGGTGGAGACAATATATACATATATATCATGCTTCAGTTTCCTAATACAAATGTCCATCAAGAAGTCAAATCTCATATAAAAACAAGCATTAAAAACAACCCCTTGTCAAAAATCGGGGCAGTCGAGAAGTGCACTCCAATGAATGATGTGCAAGAAAAGGCCAGGATTTGATAAATACATGGTCTCTAATAAAACAGGAGAATATCTACAAGGGACTTGGCTGGGAAGCTCTACCAGGAGGTCATGGGTGCCCCAGTTCTCTCAGCAAAGTGGCTTCATTGAAATCAAAATCACCCAAGATGCCAACCCCAGCGTTTGGAGTTTGGATCCTCCAGGGGAAACATCAAAAGCCAGCAGGCAAGTCGGGGTTGAAAAAGGGATCCTCTCACCTTTCATCTTCTCCTGTGTCTACGTGGTCAGCATGCCCCCACTACGACCTTGAAGATACAGCCTTAAAGAAGCAGAGAACTGTGATTGGGTACAACTGTGTAGTAATGGAAGCCTCTCCCCAGAAAACGGGGTGAGCTGGAAAGACCCTAGTCTGTGGCTAAGAAAGTGATTAAATAGAAGCAGAGACTGTATTTCATATTATTCTGATGAATTTGCCTTCTCCAAGTTCGTGGCTTGGTGGGAATATCGCCTGCTGCTCTCTGCAACCCCCAGCTAAGCGAGGGTCCCCTGCAAACATCAACTAGGGGGAGGGCATGAGTAATGAGGAGAAGCAGGCTCCCCCAAAATAAGCGTTATTATTATTATTATTATTATTTTTGCCTTGCTGAGTTCAAAGCTGCGGGGTGGGGGAGCCTTCCCTCACATTCAGCAGCCCTGGGGTTACATTTGTCTTTAAAGGGCTATTTAGGAAAACACAAGGAATGGATTTTAAAAAGAAGACAGAAAGAAATCCAGCTCCCAGCTTGCAGCAGCACTGAGAGGTTGTACATTCTAAAGGACCTGGTCATTTACAGCAAAGCCTATGGGGGGATAATTCCCATTTCAACCGCATCCACCTTAACAAATGTGGATCCCACTGCTGGCTTCTTAGAACTGGAGCGGTGTCTGCTAACCAGCCTGCTGGACCCTCTGTCTATAGGTACCAGGTGGTGACTTGCAAATCGAGCCTTGGAGAATGACTGTCCGAATCTGCAGGCTGACACCTCGCCACCTCGGCTTTGAAAATGGCAGTGTGTGGTATCCTGCACAGAGGAAGAATACGTGCTTATGTTGGATTTTTCGAAAATGAAAGCAAAAAATAATCACTGCTCCCTGAAGAGTCTTTGCAGCCAAGTCTCCCTCCAGCACACATCTTTTTTTTAGCCCTTCTAGAAACTTCTGAAAATAGTAGCTTATCCTTGGGGGAAAAAAATCAGACGTCTGTCAATCAGTGAGATGCTGGTGCATTTCATTTAAATGGCCCACTCCCTCCCCCAACGTCCCCTGGTTATAAATCATCTTTGACCAGAATGTAGCCATTTCTTGGCTCTTTAATCCATAAAACCTAAACCCTGAAATCCCCTTGGGGAGTGGAGGAGGCTGTGGGCTGAACTCCGAGGACACTTTTGTGGGGGTGGAGGAGATAGCAACCAAGTCATGCATGAGGTCAGCTTTCTGCCTCATAACCAGCAAGCCTCTCAATGCCATCCTCCATCCTAGACCCCAAGGTTTGCTCCAAACCACCTCTGGATATTTGTCCCCACGTAGAGAAAGAGAAGAGACTCTCAAGTGGCACTTTTGCAACTTGTCCCTTAAAAAAAAAAAAAAAAAAAAGAATCTGAAACAGCAAAATAGAAATCTCTCTTGTCCCCTGGCCTTCCAACAAGTCTGTCAAAAGAATACCACAGCAGCACCAGCAGGAACGCACTTAGCACCAGCAAAATTTTAAGTGAAGCACCAGAGACACAAAAATCCCGTTTCTCTCGACGTGACAGTGGGATCTAGCGATCGACCTAGGTAAATACAGAGGGAGAGGCTAGGACAAGTCAAGAAATGGAGGCACCCCAGACTGCCCCTACACAATTGGCCCCAAGTCCTCACCTTTTTTTTTTTTTCCCTATCATGCCTTTTGCACTGTTACCTCTTATTCCACCAGCATCTATCCCCAGGCAGTTGGCCGATGCTAGGGCTAATTCCCACCAGTCTTTGCAAACAGTTTCTAAGTACACAGCAGGCATCTCTCTTCTGGCGCCCCAGACATTACAGAATATCAAAGTTCACATCGCAAGGTGCAGAAAAGGAAGGCAACCACGTCCTCGACAAGGCATGCACTGATACGTAATATTCATATTTTTGTTATATATATAGAGCTGTATGTAAATAGCATTGGGGTGTCTGTTTCTGCAGCTGGATTTCCAAAGGGCTTCCCCAGTCCCATTCTGTGTTTCTACGATCACTCCAGGCGCTGTCTTTACTCTCCACTTCCTTCTCGAAGTGCCAACCGCGGCCTTTCAAGCTCTGGGCTCCCCCTCTGGAAAACGGGAACCAGCTTTCTCCAAGGACACAGGGTTTTCACCAACCTGCAGAAATAAAGATTGGTATTTTGATCAGTGCAGCTGCTGGGGGTGACGTCAGTGCAGTGGGCCTCTGCACACTCAGCCCCGGATGTCGGGAGGGGGTGGGGAAGGGGAGAGCTACTGGATGCAAAGCTCTGGTTTTGGAGGAAGGATGCCTCAAAAGCTAGTCTTGGCACTCTTCCCCTTACCAGAGTCTCTGTCTATGTGGCAGCCATCCCCAAATAGACATTTGTGAGCGCACACACACTCCCCTCTCTGCTTTTAGACCTAGATATTTACGTAGTCATCTTCAGAGATTTTTTAAAAAAGAAGAATCTAGAGACACACGAACTTTTTGCTTCTCCAAATTCAGAACAGGACCTTCCTCGATTCATTTCATAGATCCAGATTCAGGAGAGAGTTGTGGGATAGTCTCTGTTCTCTTCTGTTTGTCTGTCCGTTCATTCATCCATTCATTTCTTCCCAAATATGCCAAGTGCCATACTCGGGGCTACAGATTCAATGACATAATTCTTGCCCTTGAGGGGCTCAGAGCCAACAGGGAGATGGGAAGAAATGGATAATGACAGTCACATGTAAAGAGCATATGCAATCTGGGGAAACGTGGTCTATGGGAGCCCAGGGGAGGCAGCTCATAAGGGAGACAAAGGAGACTCCTCAGAGAGAGTGGCAGGCCCCTGTTGACTATTGAAGAGTGCCAGGAAATGAACCAGGATAAGAAAATGAGGCATCCTAGGCAGGGCAGAAAAAAACAGCCCATACCCAAGAGTATCCACAACAGAACGCACAAAATGTGTGCACAAATGCTCACGGCAGAATTATCCATAACAGCACAGTGTGGAAACAACCCAAATGTCCATCAACTGATGAATAAACAAAATGTGGTCTCCCCATACAATGGACTATTAGTCAGCCATCAAAAAGGAATGAAGTGTTGATACTTGAAGATGGATGAACCTTGAAGACATCATGCTAAGTCAAAGAAGCCAGACACAAAGGGACACATATTGTGTGATTCCATTTATATGAAATGTCCACAACAGGCAGATCTTCTGTGACAGAAAGGAGAACGGTGGTTGCCTAGGGCCAGGGCGGGTGGGAGGAATTGGGGAGTGGTGCTCATGAGCACAGGGTTTCTTTCAGGGAAACGAAAATATTCCAAAGTTGACTGTGAAGATGGCTGCAAAATTCTATATATACTCCTCATCATTGACTTGTACACCTTAAACAGGTAGGGTTGTTTATTTGTTTGTTTGTTTGTTTTTGAGACAAGGTCTCGCTCTGTTGCCCAGGCTGGAGTGCAGTGGTGCGATCTCAGCTCACTGCAACCTCTGCCTCCTGGGTTCAAGCGCTCTCCTGCTTCAGCCTCCGAAATGGCTGGGACTATAGGTGCACGCCACCACGCCCATCTAATTTTTGTATTTTCAGTAGAGACTGAGTTTTGCCATGTTGGCCAGACTGGTCTTGAACTCCTGACTTCAAGTGAGCCACTCACCTTGGCCTCCCAAAGTGCTGTGATTACAGGCATGAGCCACTGTGCCCGGACTTAAAAGGATAGGTTTGATGGCTATAAGTTAGCAGGGGAGATAAGAACGTATCACACGTTACTCTGAAGCAGGTGGCATAAGAACGAGCATGTGGGTAATACACACCAAGTGGTATAGGAGTGGTATAGGAGGAGGGAGATCGCTTTATGACTTCTGGGTTTGAAAAAGTCTGAGATGTTGACTTGTATGTCCCAGCTGGTACCCTTGACTTCTGGCTTCCTTCTGGGTTTGACCAACAGGAAAGGAAGCACTCATGGGAAAGTAAAATCAGATGTTTGTTCCCCAGTTCCCCGCCCGCTGGTCAGAGGTTGGTCACAGCCGCTGCCTGGACTCATGGTACAGTGACACCCTCCTGGGGACTCCAGGTCCCATTCCTTTCCCTGGAACCTTCAGGCCAGGGTGGGAACAGCTCCCCTCTATGGCGAAGCCTAGGGTACTGCATTCACTCTCGCTGGTTTCCCAAACCCTGCCCACGCCTTTGCTGTTGAACCTTTCCTAAATTCTCCTCTGATGACTGAGTCTGGAGACACTATCTGCTGTTACTTGGGCCCTAGTGGATACATCTGACTGCATGAAAGAGATGAGTCATAAACACATGGACCCCACAGTCTACGTCAGCTGACAGTCACAAGGATCCAAATCAGTGACTTCAAACCTTTTGCTTTTTTTTCTTTTTTAAAGAAACTGGGTCTCGCTCTGCCACCCAGGCATGAGGGCAGTAGCGCCATCATAGCTCACTGCACCCTCGACCTTCTGAGCTCAAGCGATCCTCCCACCTCAGCCTCTAGCTGGGACTACAGGCATGAAACACCACATCTGGCTAATTTATTATTTTTATTTTTTCTTTTAGAGACAGGGTCTTGCTATGTTGCCCAGGCTGGCCTCAAGTAATCCTCCCACCTTGGCCTCCCAAAGTGCTAGGATTACAGGTGTGGGCCACCACGCCAGGCCAATTCCCCTTCTATCTCATGAGGGCACACACACAGTAGGAGCTCTGCGTTGTTATGCAGCCACAATATATTTTCTTAGAATATGGAATTAGAGTCCTCAATCAACTCAATTGATAAATACACTCAATTTAATGAAACCAGCTTTTGTAACCCCTAAACATCTCCGTTGGTGTCTACTCATAAATCTACAGAATGAAAGTCAGTGTAAACCTGCAGCATTAGCCTAAAATAATTATGCTGCTTTAAGCACAGGTGGGACAGAAGGAGAGCTAGGAACACTTAGTAAGTACCTACTATGCTACTGAGTGTGTGGACTTCGTGCTAAGCTTGGTTATCTGCACCAGATAAGGCCAGGTGCCTCCTTGAAATTTGCCTCTAGGCTTACCGGAAAGATATGCCATGCCAGAGGACAGTACTGTAAATGACCAATATCCGGAGGTGAACCGACAGCCTAGAAGTCAGGATGGGGTTACAATCACTAGGGAAGCTTCAGAGGGGACCCGGGATTTGATTCATGAAATACCTTTGAAGAAATGTCCCTGTTTCCATTTTTCATCCACCACATGGAGGGGGGAGGCAGGCAGAGAGGGAGAATTTGAACCCATAAGGTTCTGCCTCCCTGGGCTGCGGTGATGTTGTGACGCTTTGGGCACGGAAGGTGAAAGCTGAGCACAGTGAACCCCACTGCAGCATTAGATGGGGCAAGAGGCTTATTCCCTTTTTCTGATGTCAGCAAAGAATTAGGACTCTTGGATTCCCTCCTAAGAGGCCCCCTCATTAAAAAAAAAATACCTTGGCCAGGCATGGTGGCTCTTGCCTATAATTCCAGCACTTTGGGAAGCCAAGGAGGCCAGAAGTTTGAGACTAGCCTGGGCAACATGGCAAAAGCTCATCTCTACTAAACATACAAAAAATAGCCAGGTGTGGTGGTGCACACCTGTAATCCCAGCTACTCAGGAGGCTGAGGCATGAGAATCTCTTGAACCCAGGAAGTGGCGATTGCAGTGAGCTAAGATCATGCCACTGCACTCCATCCTGAGCAACAGAGCCAGACCCTGTCTCAATAAGTAAATAAATAAATAAAATTTAAAAAATACCTTTTTTGCCCTTGCTATTTGCACAAATCATAAGTTACAAATTGAAACAGTGGAGAAGAATATAAAAATAAAAGGAAAGCCCCTTCAACCCAACCCTTAAGCCCCACTCCCTTTCCCAGAGGCAGCCGGTATCACCGGTCGGTTGTGCAGCCTCCCAGAGTATTTTCTGTGCATTTGTAGACGCCATGTCTCTTTTTTATTCTTTTCCTACCATTATGTTCCCAGAGCCCAGCACAATGCCCAGCATATAGTAGGTGTCCAATTCATTATCTATTGAGGAGGGTAAATAAGTGACAAACAAATAAAGATGACAGGCTGGGTGTGGTGGCTCACGACTGTAATCCCAGCACTTTGGGTGGCCGAGACAGGTGGATCACTTGAGGTCAGGAGTTTGAGACCAGCCTGGCCAACACGATGAAACCCCGTCTCTACTAAAAATACAAAAATCGGCCGGGTGCAGTGGCGCACACCTGTAATCCCAGCTAGTCAGGAGGCTGAGACAGGAGAATCACTTAAACCCGGGAGGCAGAGGATGCAGTGAACTGAGGTGGCACCACTGCACTCCAGCCTTGGAGACAGAGCAAGACTCCATCTCAAAAAAAAAAAAAAAAAAAAAGCAGTTTCTCGGATCCTCCATCTTTGGTTTCAGCAGGTTGATTCTGACGAAGGAGTTTCAATGGTACCAATAGTCCTAGTCCCTAAGACTTGAAGGAAGGGCTGGGCATGGTGGCATGTGCCGCTAATCTCTGCTACTCAAGTGGCTGAGGCAGGAGGATTGCTTGAGCCCAGGAGTTCGAGACCAGCCTGGGCAATATAGCAAGACCCTGTCTCAAAAAAAAAAAAAAAAAAACTTGGAGGAGAAGCTCTCCATGCAGAATCCTCTTGCAAAGAAGATTGCTCCGGTCCACATTATCCCCTAAATCTCCATCTGTAGAGTTCATGTCGGCCAGGTAGGAAGCTGCGCGCACAGGAGGCTGTGGAAAGGAAGCTGAAAAGCTGGCTAGGTTGTGATGTGTGAGGAAGGAAGAGGTCACTTGGCAGCCTCTGGAAGAAATATTTGCTGTGGCCCAGCCTTCTTCTATCAGTGAACAGTTATCAATGCCATCAGCTACTAGATACTGATTATCTAAAGTCTATGAAGAGAGACCTGAGCTCCTACCCAGTAGGAGGTTATGGCAGGTGGGCCTTGGAAGCCCAGTTCGCTTGACTTTCAGAAGGGTAAGCAGTGAGAGTTGGGAAGTATTTCAGCTCAGCACAGAATCAACACCAAAACAAACAAACAAATAAACAAAAATACAGATTCTTCTCAAAGCAAACTGGGGCCTACCAGACAACGTTGCCCATGGCCCATGGCCCCCATGTTATACTATGCACATTCTTTGACCTAACAATTTCACCTTCAGGAACTTCACTTTTTCTTTGCAAAGGTGTCCAAATGTGAATGTCCCCTGCCATGCACGGTGGCTCACACCTGTAATCCCAGCACTTTGGGAGGCCAAAATGGGAGGATCACTTGAGCCCAGGAGTTCCAGACCAGCCTGAGCCACATAATGAGACTCCATCTGCACACACGCAAATTTTTTTCTTTTTTGAGATAGAATTTCACAATTATTGCCCAGGCTGGAGTGCAATGACGCAATCTTGGCTCACTGCAACCTCCGCCACCCTGGTTCAAGCTATTCTCCTGCCTCAGCCTCCCGAGTAGCTGAGATTACAGGCATGCACCACCACGCCCGGCTAATTTTTTTGTATTTTTAGTAGAGATGGAGTTTCACCAGGTTGGCCAGGCTGGTCTCGAACTCCTGACCTCAGGTGATCCACCCGCCTTGGCCTCCCAAAGTGCTGGGATTACAGGCATGAGCCACTGCACCTGGCCACAAAAAAATTTTAATTAGCCAAGTGTGGTGGTGCACGTCTATAGTCCCAGCTACTCAGGAAGCTGAGGTAGGAAGATCACATAAGCCCAGGAGTTTGAAGTTACAGTGGCCTATGATCATGCCACTGCATGTCAGCCTGGGTGACACAGAAAGACCCTGTTTCTAAAACAACAAAAAAAGTTCCTAACAACCTTGTTTACCCTACCAGAAAACAGGAAACAATGCAAATGTTCCCAAGGAAGTGACCATATAAGGAAACCCTGCTTCATCCAAGCAACAGAACATCATGCAGCCATTAAAAAGGATGAGGAAAACCTTTGTGTGTTGACATGGGAAGATCTCAACCACCTATTTTTAGTGAGGAAAAAGCAGGTTACAAAACAGCATGAACAGTATGAGCTCATGTATTTAAAATAGGATGCGTGTGTGGGTGTATATGCATCAAGGGAAGAGCATGGGGGCTCCCTGAAATCAGGGGTCACGAACTGAAATGCACTGGACCCAGTAAAGGTACCCAGGAGGGGCTGGGGACACTGGAGTGTGTTTGTCCTTTCTAAAGGGGTTTCTGACACTCATCTCCAGCCTGTTTCTGCCACATTGTTAGATCTTTTCATTTTTCAAGAAAAATTGGAAATACAGGCTTCTACCTGAAAATGCCTGATTTTTTTTTTTTTTTTTTTTTTGATGGGGTCTCACTTTGTTGCCCAGGCTGGTCTCGAACTGCTGGGCTCAAGCGATCCTCCTGCCCCAGCTTCCTGAGCAATGGGCACTACAGGCACATGCCACCATGCCTGCCTAAAATGCCTGACTTTTAAGTGTTGGGGGAAAACCCACGCAGGTCAAACAGAACTCAACTGCAAGCCAAATTCAGCTAGGAGACCACCCATTTTCACCCCTGCCTGAGATACTCAGACACTCCTACTATCACCTGGCATTTAAGTTCGCCTCATCTTAACCCTCAGTAGCTATCTCTGGGCCCCAGGTTCGCCACTGTACAATGAGGGAGATGGGTTAGATGTCTCTAATGTCCTGTCTGGCTCTGGCTATGTTTCCAGAACACAGACCCTTTGGGATCACAGATCTTTTGAGAATTGGATCCAAACTATGTTTTCTGTCCCAAGTAGGGGGAAGTAGAAGAGGAGGATGAAATCAGCCAGTGTTATTAGCTTAATTACTGGGTGTTCACAAATTTCCTGAGGCCTCCCCTACATTCATTCATTCATGCATTCATTCATTCATTCACCAGTTAGTGAATGCCGCCATGCCCGGGTGCTGGGATACAGTAATGGGCAAAATAGGCATGGCGGTTTGCATCTTTCTGGGACCTGAAGGCCAGTGTTGCCTGGGCTGGAAAGTCCTGGTCTAGTGGTTCTCCCAGCCCTGTCAGAGTGGCCTAAGTAGGCCCTTGGTGAGTCCCAGGTTGGGGAAAGTAGGATTAAAGCAGATAGCAACCGCCTTAAGCAAAAGGCTGAGAAAGTTCTGAGACCTCCCACGCATACCACAAAGATGGGCCCGTGGACTAAACTTCTTCTTCTTTTTTTTTTCCAAAGACAGGGTCTTGTTATGTTGCCCAGGCTGGAGTGCAGTGGCACAATCACTGCAGACTTTACCTCCTGGGCTCAAGCGATCCTCCCACCTCAGCCTCCCGAGTAGCTGGGACTACAGGTGTGTGCCACAATACCTGGCTAATTTTGTTGTTGTTGTTGTTGTTTGTTTGTTTGTTTTTAAATAGAGGTGGGATTTCGCCATGTTGGCCAGGCTGGTCTTGAACTCCTGACCTCAAGTGCTCTACCCACCTCGGTCCCCCAAAGTGCTGGGATTACAGGTGTGAGCCACCGCACCCAGACTATGGACTCCATTTTACACCAAATAAGAACAACATATATCATAGGCTGTCATTCACCATTTTCGGAACACCAGTGACATGCCTTGTACTGCGCTGGAGTAGATTACAGCATGCTTCCTTCATGCTAGGAGCTCATTACGGAGGTAAAACAGCATTGGTTCTCCCAGCCACTCACACACAGAGGGGCTGAATCTGTGCCAGCCGCTTAATATATAGTGCTCCTCCAGTGCAGATGCTATTATTCTTCCCAGTTTACAGATGAGGAAACCAAGGCTCAGAAGGTAATGGGATCAGCCTAAGGTCACACAACTGGCAAATGGGAGATGGAGAAAGTTATCTGAAAGTCGGCCTGACTCCAAAATTCATGTCCCTTTCCGTGAAGCTTCCCTGCCTCAGCACAAAGTATTGGTGAGGAAGATAAACAGTTACCAGGGTTACATTTTCTGAATCAAGTCTTAGGCTTTTTGGTCTGCCAACAGTCTCAAATATTCTAAGTCTGAGCCATCTTTGAAAAATGGTACTTTGGCCGGGTGTGGTGGCTCACACCTGTAATCCCAGCACTCTGGGAGGCCAAGGCAGGCATATCTGGATCACTTGAGGTCAGGAGTTCGAGCACCAACCTGGCCAACATGGTGAAACCCCTTCTCTACTAAAAATACAAAAATTAGCTGGGCGTGGTGGTGGGCACCTTGTAATACCTAACCTACTAGGGAGGCTGAGGCAGAAGAATCGCTTGAACCTGGGAGCAGGGGTTGCAGTGAGCCAAGATCGTGCCACTGTGCTCCAGCCTGGGCAACAGAGCAAGACTGTCTTAAAAAAAAAAAAAAACGAGAAAATGATACGTCTTCTTGAATCCATTCCAGTAACTCTGACACATCCCCACTCCTGGAAGACCTCCCTCTCCACTCATGCAAGTCACTTTGTCTTAGTTCCTCCAGCATCAGTATGTTAGCATTTTACAGGGTTTATTAAGTACCATGCGGTAGCTCCAAGATTATTAGATGAACATGATTCCTGCCCCCAGGATGACAGGTACAGCCAGGCAGACAGAGCAGCTTTCCAGATTAGTGACATTGATGAGACTGGGAACCTTTCCCTGAAGTGGGGACAGGCATGCTAGGCGTCATCCACACTCCCACACTGGCTAAAGGTGTGGTCCATGAAGAAAAGTCCACAGCAAGGCAACAGAGGTTCATCTGAGGCCAGTCACAGCCAGCTCAAGAGCCAACAGACACTTGACATATAAAGGCCAGTGACATGGGCTGGCCCAGTGGCTCACGCTTGGAATCTCAGCACTTTGGAAGGCCAAGGCAGAAAGAAAGACTGCTTGAGCCCAGGAGTTCCAGACCAGACTGGGCAACATGGCGAGACCCCATCTCTAAAAAAATAAAATAAAAAATTAGTGGCATACACCAGTAGTCTGAGCTACTGGAGAGGCAAAGGTGGGAGGATCACTTGAGCCCAGGTCGAGAGTGCAGTGAGACCTGATTGCACCACTGCACCCCAGCCTAGGCAACAGAGAGACCCTGTCTCAAATAAAGAAAGGCCAATGACATGAATGAGACATGGGAGCCAACGGCAGTGTTTGCAGATCTTGACCACATGATTTTATGCTCTAGATGGCCTTTATAACACAAGAATGCTCATTATGTTTTTTGTTTGTTTGTATTTGAGACAGAGTCTCGCTCTGTCACTCAGGCTGGAGTGCAATGGCATGATCTCAGCTCACTGCAACCTCTGCCTCCTGGGTTCAAGCGATTCTCCTGTCTCAGCCTCCCCAGTAGCTGGGACTACAGGCATGTGCCACCACACCAGGCTAATTTGTTTCTATTTTTAGTAGAGATGGGTTTCATCATGTTGGTCAGGCTGGTCTCGAACTCCTGACCTCAAATGATCCACCCACCTCGGCCTCCCAAAGTGATGGGATTACAAGTGTGAGTCACCACACCCAGCCTGTTTTGTTTTGTTTGTTGTTTTTTGAGACGGGGTCTTGCTCTGCCACCCAGGCTGGAGTGCAGTGGTGCAATCGCTCACTGCAGCCTCAACCTTCCTAGGCTCAAGCGATCCTCCCATCTCAGCCTCCCGAGTAGCGGGACTACAGGTGCATGTCACCATGCTTGGCTAATTTTTCCTTTTTCTTTTTTTAGATTGGGGCTCACTTTGTTGCCCAGGCTAGTATCAAACTCCTGGCTTCAAGCAATCCTCTCACCTGTGAGCATTAAAAAAAATTTTTTAATTAGTTTTTTTTCTTTTTTTCTCTGAGATGAAGGTCTCACTCTGCTGTCTGCCCGGGTTGGAGTACAGTGGTGTAATTGTAGCTAACTGCAGCTTTGAACTCCTGGGCTCAAGTGATCCTTCACTGTTCCTTCACCATGATGGATGGGGAATGTAAATGATGGACTAACTAAATAAAGCAATACTAACCAACTTCTAAGTGTGGTGGCTCACGCCTGTAATCCCAGCACTTTGGGAGGCCAAGGTGGGCAGATCACAAGGTCAGGAGTTCGAGACGAAGATGCCCAATGTAGTGAAACCCCGTCTCTACTAAAAATACAAAAATTAGGCCAGGTGTGGTGGCAGGCACCTGTAATCCCAGCTACTTGGGAGGCTGAGGCAGGAGAATCTCTTGAACCCAGGAGGTGGAGGTTGCAGTGAGCCAAAATCGCACCACTGCACTCCAGCCCAGGCAACAGTGTGGGACTCCATCTCAAAAAAAAAAAAAAGAAAGAAAGAAATGTCTCATAGAAAAATACTAAAAGGTTGAACAAATGCCTGTGATATATGGAAAAGGTCAGGTTACAGATAATATATTTAGAGTGATTCCATGTGTTAAAGTACCCATCCAGCCAGGCATGGTAGTGCACACCTATAATCCCAACACTTTGGGAAGCCAAGGCAGGAGGTACTGAGCTCAGGAGTCCAAGACCAGCCTGGGCAACAGAGCAAAACCCTGTCTCTACAAAAAATACAAAAATTAGCCAGGTGTGGTGGCATGCACCTGTAGTCTCAGCTACTTGGAAGGCTGGGGTGGGAGAGTCACTGGAGCCCAGGAGGTTGAGGCTGCAGTGAGCTATGATCCTGCCACTGCACTCCAGCCTGGGTGACAGAGTAAGACCCTGTCTCAAAAAAACAGAGAGAGAAAAGGGAGAGAGAGAGAGAGAAAGGAAGAGAGAGAGAGACAGAAGGAAGGAAGGAAGGAAGGAAGGAAGGAAGGAGGGAGGGAAATAAAAAAAGAGAAAGAAAGGAAGAAAGGAAGGAAGGAAAGAGAAACGGAGGAAAGAAAGAAAATCACATGACGAAAGGGTCAAATCTAATGCAACGGAAAGGTAGAAAGGCTTAGAAGCTGTCTGGTCTTTACATGGGAAAGGACTGCAATCTTTTGCTACTCAGACCTTCTGCTCAAAGCTGAACCTCCTATCTCCAGAGGCAAGACTCTAATTTTCGTTCTTTCTTTTTTTTTTTTTTTTTTGAGACAGGGACTCATTGTGTCACCCAGGATGGAGTGCAGTGGCACAATCACAGCTCACTGCAGCGACAAAGTCCTGGGCTCAAGCAATCATCCCGCTCAGCCTCCCCAGTAGCTGGGACTACAGGTGCATGCCACCACGCCTGGCTACAATTTTCTTTTATTCAGCATTTTCCAAATAGTTGCCAATGAACTATTGTAATATTTTTTTGTCACCAAGAAAACATTATTTATTTTTCTGAGACAAGGTCTCATTCTGTTGCCCAGCCTGGACGCAGCGGTACGACTGCAGCTCACTACAGCCTCAGCCTCCTGGGTTCAGCAATCCTCCCATCTCAGCCTCCCGAGTAGTTGGCAACACAGGTGTGGACCACCATACCTCACCAATTTCTTATTTTATGTAGAGATGGGGTCTCACCATGTTGCCCAGGCTAGTCTCAAGTTCCTGGGCTCAAGCAATCTTCCCACCTCAGCATCCCCAAGTGCTGGCATTACAGGCATGAGCCACCACATCCAGCTACTTGTTTAAAAAAGGAATATTATATCAAGTTTCCCAGAGCAATTAAATTCCACCCGCCCAAGTCTCTGGCCCATGGAGCAAAGGTTCAGTGTGGGAAAGCTCTGCGGGAAGCAGCCATCTTGGATAAGCCAGTTGCCTCCTCATAGGAAGAGGAAGGAGCTTTCTCCTTGCCTGGCCAACCAGAGTCATAAAAGGGTGCATCTTATTGATGTGGGCTAAATCAGAAATCCCCCACCCAACAGCAGGGGCACCAGTTTCGGGCAGGAAAGGAAGAGGGTAGCCAGTGCTGAGTTGGATGGTGAGAGTTCTAAGGGTGATGGAGACCCAATCGATGCCCACAGTGTTCCCCTGGCACTGAGGGGGATGGGTGTGAGTGAGTTGGTTCAGGGATCACGACCTCTCAGACCTTGGCAGGAGGTGAACTGGTTTACTTCTACTAAGAGGCGAGGGCAGGGGCAGAGCCTCGGTCTCCTGTCTCCGAAAGAGTCTGGGGTCACCTGAGGGCTGCCGTTGGGACTCGATCATTTCTGCATCCCTGCACCTGGGCATCCAGCCCCGGCACCAAGCTACACTGCTTGTTTCTCTTTCCTGAAATGTACTATGCAGTCTCACCTCCAGGCCACTGGACTTGCTCTCTCTCTTTCCAAAACACCGTTCTTGAATGTCTTCATACGGCTGGCTCCTTTGTGTCATTCAAATCTGCTATTCACCCTGGTTCCTCTTCAAAGTGGCCTTCCTTCCCTCATCACCACAGGTGAGGAGTCCCTGGGGCACTCTCTATTGTGTTACCTTTGTGTATTACCTTCGGGGCCCTGAGCACTTTCTGAAATTATCTCTGTGTTAGACTGCATAATCCAAAGGTGGCCACTATAATGTCTCCCATTCCCCATGCTATTCCAGAACCTCACCACTCCCCCATGAGGTGGAGTCTAATTCCGCCCCACCTTGAATCTGCATCAGCTTCTGACTTCTAACCAAAGTGACTTCGGAACTGGGTCAGAAAAAGCAAAGCAGCTTCCACCTAGTTCCCCAGGATACTTGCTTTTGGAGCTCCCAGTCACTGTGTCAGAATCCAGTTGCCATGCTGTGAGGAAGCCCAAGCCACACGAAGAGGCTGAGTATAGCTGCTCCCATTAACAGCCCCAGCTGACTCCCAGTATTAACAGCCAGACATGTAAATAAGGTTGCTTCCCCAACCATGACTCCAGTCCTCAGCCATCCTGGAGCAGAGACAAGTCACCCCCACTACTCCCTGACCAAATTCCTCACCCACAGAATGTGTGAGCATGGTCAAATATGTCAGCCTCCCATATAGGTGGGTTCCACATCCAAGGATTCAACCAGCCTCAGATCAAAACTACTGGAAAAAAATAAAATTAAAAAATAACAATTTTTAAAAACACACATAAAAACAATACAGTATAATTATTTACATAGCATTTACATTGTATTGGGTATTACAAGTAATCTGGACATGATTTAAAGCACACAGTGTGTGGGTTACATGCAAACACTACACCATTTCATATCAAGGACTCGGCATCCTCGGATTTTGGGATCCAAGATGGGATCCTGGAACCACTTCCCCCCAGAGACAGAGGGATGGCTCTAGTTGTTTGAAGCAAAATTTAGTAGTTTTGGAGTAATTTGTTACAGAGAAGTAGTAACAAGAACAATATTTACTTATTGTCTGTCTCTTGCCACTAAAATGTGGGCTCCAGGAAAGCAGGGAACTCTACGTCTTGGTCCTTCCTGTAGCCACAGGAGATACTCAATACTCAATACAGATACACAGAAGATACTCAATAATTAGCAGTTGTATAAGTGGAAGAACCTGAATTTGGGAAACAATAGTGACTATGTTGCATAGTTTCTTTTTTTAATTTTTTTTTTGTGACTGAGTCTCACTCATTCTGTTGCCCAAGCTGGAGTACAGTGGCACGATCTCGGCTCACTGCATCCTCCGCCTCCTGGGTTCATGCAATTTTCCTGTCTCAACTTCCCGAGTAGCTGAATACAGGCACACACCATCATGCCTGGCTAATTTTTGTATTTTTAGTGGAGACAGGGTTTCACTACATTGGCCAGGCAGGTCTCGAACTGCTGACCTCAAGGGATCCACCCACCTCAGCCTCTCAAAGTGCTGGGATTACAGGTGTAAGCCAGCGTACCCGGCTGATGTTGCATAGTTTCTGATTCATTTAACAAAGCACATAGTTATTGTACACCTACTATGTGACAAGCAAGTTGCCAGGGACTAGGGACACTGTGGGTTAGCTTTCTGTTCCTGTGAAATCCTATCACAGGGACACTAGTGAGGACCACCAAAGAAACAGAAGCCCCCTCCCCACCTCTCATTATCTGCCTGTCTAAAAGGCTGACTTTTCAAAAACTCGAGTTATGATTGCCAAATCCAGCCAGCCCACATCTGGGGGTATATTTAATTATTCCCAGGTGTGGCTCTTTTCCATCCACAGCTCAGTCACTTGTACTCTGGCCTCTCACTAGGCGAGTGGATGACTCCAGACAGGGACCATGTGGCAGGAAGGCTGCCTGGTTCTGCACATCTGGCCCCTTCCCGGGGGGTTCCTCCCCAACAGCTGTCCTCCTCGGGCTCCCTGGCCAAGCAGAAGGCCAAGCTTTCAAGCTCTAAAAGTAATTCTGGCAGGGGTGCTGCGGGCTGGGAGGGAGGCCTGCGGGATGCTCCTCCAGGTTTAACCACTTAATCCCCAAAGTACCTGCCAAGAACCAGTTAGCAAGTCTGGTTGGCCGGCCAGGCCGTCATTAATTCATTAAAGCAGGCTCCCGCTGGCCCATTATCTTCCTTGCCACTGACCACGTCGCCTTATGGGCCTGCAGAGTCCCCCTCTCTCCCCTTCCCCTGCTCCCAAGGCAGGATTCTACCCAGCCCTGGCCTCGACTCCCAGGCAGATTCCTCGGCTCCATTCTCTCTCCCTCCCTGCCCCCTCCGCAGGCACGCTTCTCCCTCCCTCCCTCCCACGCCTCCGCCAGCCAGCGCTCACCATAAAGCGTCTTTTGTTCCCTCTCTCCTGTATCTTTGAGTATTGACTGGTTAAATCATACCCGTCCTCCTCCCGGCCTCCCCAGCCTCAGAGGAGCCTCCCCTGGGGCTCTGGAAGAAAGGGAATTGCACTTGTGCAGGAATTCACTGTGCGCCAACCCGGTCTGCTTACTGCCCCTATCTCCTCTTCCCCTGCAAGTCATGGGGTGGGGGGCGCTGTGTGACTTCAAAGACAGAAGCTCCAATTCCACTGGGGATCACTTAGGTGGATGCTCTCTGCCTCGGCTTCCCCTTTGAAATAAAAGGAATGGCACTGACCATTTCATGACATCCTCTGTTGAGTGAAGTTAACAGACAAGACACTACACTGGACATTTTTTTTTTTTTTTTTTTTTTTAATCTTGCTCT